TTGCTATGATCCCATGTTTTAATATCAACAAGTGAGATTCAGTCAGTGATATAGAAAGAATGTTTATCAAATTTTACTGGCATGTGTTCTAATCCATTTCTGTTTTCAAAGAGGAGACATCAAAAAGTTTTAAAACCTGATGGAAAAGCTATTATATAAACAAAAATTTTAAAACTAAATTTTTTGTATCAATGGTTTTAACAGATTCGTAATTTACAGCTTAAAATTTAAATGTTTTGAAGAAAGATATCACAGAATAAAGAAATTCAGTTAACATTATAATTTTTTGACTGAATGTACCATTCATTAAATTATATATTAAGTCATTAATAATCTGCACTTTAATAAAATGGATGTTTTAATTTGTAACCTGATAACTATCAAAATAAAGAAAATCTTAGAGAAATTACCACATCAGAGTTTTAAAACCCTGAACCTAAAAATGAAAACCCAGGTGCACATAAGGATTACGAGGGTGAAGGTGAAAAAACTAAACAACAAAATAAAACCAAGAAAACTCAAACTCAAGATTATTCAGTATTCTATAATGCTATTTTATCTTGGGACTCACAGAGAATAGTTAATTTTATGTATATCCCAAGTCAGAATACATTCTGTTTTTAAACACTCAATGACTTCAGGATACTATATTAGCTTTTAATTGAATTAATACAACTTTAGATGTTAAGATCATAACATTGACTAAAAATTTATTACCTTTTTACAGATATGAAACTAATGTCATCTTATAGTTTTTATACTTATATAATACTTTGAAATATATATTAGCTAATATTTTATAATTTGGGGTTTTCATATTATTATTAGAGAGATCTGCAGAAAACTAGTAATGTGTAAATACTCAAATCATAAGCAGTTTGCTGGATGCATCCCTAAATATTTCATTTATGAAGAACACAAATGAAGTTTCACACCATTTTATGATCTATCAACCACAGGAACTAAATTCTGGCATAGGCAACATTATAGGGTTAGTCTACAATAAAACCCATAGTGCATTTTAAAAAGGGTAAAAGGAAGGAAAGATAAAAAAGAATACAAAACTAAAGATTTTAAAAACAAACATCACATGTCTGAACTGCAGATATTCATGCCATTGACTTTGGAGTTTCATATTTCATGAAAGGCATTTTGTACACAGAAGTCTCAAGTGCTATAAGGCACCTAGCAGAATACAATGCTCCAGACATGGCAGATATTCAATAAAATAATTTTAACTCCTACTGATACGTTATCTTTGTTGTTGTTCATTTATTAACCTAGTAAAAATCAGCCAATAGATGGAGTGCCATTGACCCATAAAACTTCTGAGATCCCACGTTCTCTGAAGTCCTCTATAACTTATCATCTGTTGCAACTCACATTTAGCATAAGCTACAAGCTTATATTGTTAATCACCCTTCTATGTTTACGTGCTGACTCACAAATAAATGGGCCTATGTGGCCTTTATCTTCACAATCTTAATATCTACGAAATTAAATCTGATGTTTCATAAAATTATATCAACTGGTAGAAGAATTACACATATTTGCTTAACCTTTTGTGTCTACTGCCTATCGAATACAGTAAGTCCTCACTTAATGTGAGGATTTAATATGTTCTTGAAAACTGATGTATAATGAAATCAATTGTACCACAGGCTAATCGATATAAACAGAGTTAAGATTCCATGGCACATTTCTGGTCACAAGAACATCGCCAAACTTAGAAAGACCCAAAACACTTCCAATATTAAACACTGAAATAAAGTTGAGCTCTACATATATTTAAGAAAGATTAATAAAAATTTCACCAGGACCACCCTGATGAAGTAATTGAAGAAGTTATTTTTCTGTTTTTCTTCATTTATGCCCTTTATTTACAGGCACAGCTGTGTAAAGAAATCAGATGGCCCAATAGCACCAGAGTTTCTCCATTCCTGACCAGATACCAGAGGGAGGTAAGATCCCCAACTGGTGCAAACTGGAACAAGTGACCACTAGTTGCTTTTACATCATTAACATTAATTATCACTGTAATATTAAAAATTCCCTCCCCCCACAGAACACCTTGCATTTTGTGTCATGGGTTGTAGGAAGACGTATGTTTTTGCACTGAGCCTGTGCATCTGGAGTCCCACCCTGCACATGCTAACATTCCTCTCCCTCCCCAGTATAAAAGCAGCATGCCTTCTATTTTTTCAGGGAGAGGGTGTCTTTAGACCAAGAGTTCTTTCCTCCTTCAGGCCTGGCCAGGAATAAAGCCCGCTTGACTTTTTTTCCTGCTTTGCGACTGATACAAAGCAAGGAAAGAATTCCACCTACCAGTGACAAAAACAAGTTAAGGTCATTGTTTACCCACTTATTCCAGTTCAGGGTCATGGGCGGCTGGAGTCTCTCCCAGCAACTCTGGGGACTAGGCAGAACCAGCCCTGAGTTGCTGAGAGTGACTCCAGCCACCCATGACCCTAGGATGATAGGATGCCATGCCATGGTAGAGCGCTCGTGTGCACACCACATGCTCTCGCTCAGGGCAGGGGCATTTAGAAATGCTAGTTCACCTAATGGGCACATCTTTGGGATGTGTGAGGAAACTGGAGTACCCAGAGAAAACCCACATTGACCGGGGGAGAAAGTGTCAAGGCCACACAGACAATGGCCCCAGCTGAGAATTAATATTTTTCTCATCAACATTATGATGAAATTATGTTGAATGAAATGACATTTTTCAAGGACCTACTGTAATAGTCAAACTCCTTCCTGTGAAATTCAAAGCTCTCTATACTCAGGCACTATACTAGACTCCCATCCTCAACCTACGTTCTAGCTACTCGACTACACAGCATTTACCAAATTTGCTGTACGCTTCTGAGTAGCCAAACATCTGTCAGTCTGGTTCCCTCTGCAATTCAAGATGACGCACCTTTAATTATCCTGTAAAGCTCTCCCCATCAACTCTTCTGTGAAGCTTCCAGAATCCACCACCGCTTTTCCATTACCACAACTCCCTCAGAGGGCAAGTCCCTCTCTCCATTTGGCAACTACGTTTATTAAAGCATTTTCACAGATATTATTACTATTATGCCTTCTCCTTCATGAAACTTTCTCAGATTCCCATACCCAGAATTAAGCACTCCATTTATTGCCTACCTCAGTCCCTGGTATGTAATTCTACACTAGCATAGGACACAGAAGCTGGAGTCATCTGTCTGTAATTACCTTCCCCATTAGACCTTGTACCCTGTGAGGACATCATCTTATTCATCACTGTTTCCCCAGGCCTGGTTAGTACTTGATACACAGTAGGTGTTCAATAAATGTTATTAAATTAATAAACAAAACACAATTGCTTTCTGCCAAATCAGAAAAAAATTTATACTAAGGCTTCAGTTCAGACACATGCCTCCTTAGCATTCCAGCAAAACCCTAACTCTTCAGTGACCACACAATAGAAAAAGAAAGTGAATACACAGCAGACTAAGGTGGTTTTAGGGACTGAGGATATGGCTTGTGGAGGAGGCAGCATTCCAGCAAAGGGGGAAAAACAGATCCTTCGAACACCGAGCGCTTTTATGTTAACTCCAGGAAGCTTCTTTACATGCCAGTGGCTGGTGCTGTAAGGAGCACTGTTAACAATCAGTAAGATAAGCCCTAATAAAACTGCTTCCTCATCACCTCCAGGAAGTGACAGGCAAAAGTATATTTTCACTTAGAAATTGCCATAGAAAACAATCAACTTGGAAAATAACAACTACCTGTATTCTTAAAATCAATTAACTGTGCGAAAGATTTAACATATACAATTCTTAATAAGACGACCATAAACCACAGGGTATAATGTTAAAACATGGCTGTATTCTAATTCGCTGAACCCCTATCATAAGAAAATCTGCAACTGTAGACATGTGTGCTATAGTATAATCTTTTTAAAAATTGGTGTTTATGTTTTTAAATTTTGGGATGCATGAATCAGAAACTGCAAAATAAAGAGACTAGGATACTAGGTCTATTTAAATATAGAAAAAGATATGCAAAGGTTCAGAGTACAATCAATTCAGCAAATACGTGCTGAAATACATTTGCATAGTAGGTAATGCCACTGCTCTGAGGAAACCTCTAGGCTGAAATAAAGCATTCTACTACAATGTATTCATAAAAATGAGCAAAAATAGAATATCATTGATCTTGTCTTAAAAAGGAAAATGTTATATAATTATGAATAACTGGCTGTTCTGTTTTTTACAAAAACAATTATCTTCAATAGATTTCAATACTATTTCTATGGACTGCATGAAGATAAAACATTTTTTTAACAAGAATGTACCTCAATCTATAAACATTTTGAGAACCAAGCTTAAAACAGCTTTGAAAGAAAAATAAACATAACGTTACTACATTTTGGCTCTAAGAAACCTTTCATGCCATAATAAATATATGCGATATGATTATTAAATTACATATATAAAATTCTTAAAGTTACACTTAACAAATGCAATATTGTTTATAAAAGTTTTAACTTATTTTTGGCTTCTTTTCCTGCATTCACATAAGGAAAACATCTATACTTAAGAGAATGTAATGTGAAGACTGGCCTTTGTATTAGAAATAAACTTTATCAGTGAAAACATGGCATAAAGATGTCTGCTGGCTAAAAATAACATTTTCTTTCCACAGCCAGAAGCTTCCTAACTCAATTTTGTCATGTAAATAATAATTAGAGTAATGAATATAAGAATACAGACGCACTCAATGAATGTTCTTACTCATTTTTTCTAAGGGTTGAGTAAAATATCTTCATCACCCAATTAAACAGCCCACTCTACTATATTTTTGTTTTTGACTATAATCTGCCTGGATTGTCTTAGGAAGTAAGCAGGCATTAATTAATAAATGACTGCATTGCTAATTGATCAAGACTACTAACTAACCATGCCAAAACTTTTTAAAATTATTTGTTACTGAAAATTATTTATTTCTCATGCTATTGAAGGCTTCTTTACCTGCAGATGGCTGGGAAACATTCTTGAAGACCTTTCTTTTTAACTAAAGATCCTTCGAGACAGTACATAATGATGTCCATAACCTTTGATAGAAAAGAACAGATTTAAAATTAATTTCCAATACTTAATTTTCCAAAATGTACATGATTAACTAAGGCCTCATTTGCCTGTAAAAAGTCTATATAGCTTGATTTTAGTATTTAAAATAAAAACAAAAGTAATTTAAATCATGGGCATACTACAGCCTATCCTTTCTCTTACCTGTGAAAAGAAATTGAAAGGACAGTGCAATAAAATAAAGACAACAGACTTAAAGTCAACTCATATTTATGTATATAATAGGTAGCTTTATTCAACACATTATATATTTTATTTATAATGAAAGATGTCAAAGGGAACATAACCTTTACATATTACTCTAATACAGACCAATTCCATGTGAATGCTGAATGAACATGAAAATCGGTTTTTAAGGAAATTTAAATAAGGCTTCCAGAAATGGTACAACAATTAATTTTGGTTCTCTCTGTCACACACACACACACACACACACACAAACACACACACACACACACTCTCTCTTTCTCTCTCTGCCTCTCTCTCTGTCTCTCTCTTTCTCTCTCACATACCCTCTATCTCTTTCAGAGATGCTGGAAATAAAGACACTGATTTATATTACTTGATTGGAATAATTAATTTAGGTTGCTGACATATCGTTTAAAACAGGATATTCTTACCTCCACAAGAAGATCTACAACATCCGTAGGCATCTTTTCAATAAGAATTTCAATGACTCTGAGAATTTCCCCTTTAGCTCGTGCGAGAGTTGTAGTGTGCATATTCTGCTGTGATTGGGTATTTGCTGCAAGAGCCGTATGTCTGTGTACCTACAAAACATTTCTATGCTGTAGATATGATTGACACTGATATAGTTTTACATTTCTAGCCATGGTTTATTTTTCATTTTCTAATACTATAGAAAAAAAATAAACAAAAGTAAACTTCTTGGGGGTGAGTCAGAATATATTTTGGCTGCAAAAACAATACTTAATGTAATAAAAACCCAATTAGGTATTGTCTAATAAAATTCTTTAAGTTCTTAAACATTATATGAGACGTTAATACAACACTGCCATAACATTTTTAAAAAGAAACATATTGAAGACTTGTGAATTTGGTACATATGGAACTGAGATAGATAGAAGTTAGGAGATGCCCTGGAAGTGAGAGAGATGATCCTTGCTCTCAAGTAACGATAGTGCAGCTGACCCTTGAACAACATGGGTTTGAAATGCATGACTCTGCTTATACTCCGATCTTCTTCTGCCTCTGGCTCTGAGACAGCAAGACCAATCCCGCCTCTTCCTTCAGCCTACTCGATGTGGAGATGACAAGGATGAAGACCTTTATGATGATCTACTTCCACTTAATGAACAGGACATTTCCTTATGAGTTTCTTTACATTTTCTTTTCTCTAGCTTACTTTATTGTAAGAATACAGTATGTAATATATATAACATAAAAAATGTGTTGTTTATGGTATCAGTAAGACTTCTGGTCAACAGTGGGCTAACAGTAGTTCAGGCTTGGAGCAGTCAAACGTTATTTGTGGGTTTTCGACTGCCAGGGGTATTCGTTCCCCTAACTCCCTTACTGTTGAGAATCAACTGCAAATAATACTTTAACCACACTCACTGTGTCCCAGAAATTATTCTCTAAGTGCTTTATAAATAAGTTGGGAAATCCAAATGAACATGCCTCCAAAAACAATGAGCATGGCAAATAATATAAATTCAGTGCGATTTTCCCTATACAATTGCAAGCTTTATAGTTCAGAGGAGAAAGATTATTAACAGGCTATGGGCTAGCCTGGGAAGAGCCATAGAACAGAAGGCATAGAAATAGAGTAGGGGTCAGGGATAATAGTAAGGAATACTTTAGTATTTCACTCTAATATTCTAAGATTGAACAGTGAGGTGGAAAACTTGTGTGTTTTGTTTTATTTATTTAATATTACAGACAGGGTTTCACTTCACTATGTTGCCCAGGCTAGACTCAAACTCCTAGGCTCAAGCGATCCTCCTGCCTCGGCCTCCCAAATAGCTAGGACTACAGGCCCATGCCACAGCACGAGGCTGAAATCTTGTTTTTAAAAGGTAATAAATGTGAACTGTTATTTTAAAATTATCTTTCCAACCAAAAGCTGGAGTAGAATGAATTCAAAGCATGGGTATTCTAACAGCTCATTAAAAAAAATACTCATATGTAAATGGTGCAAAAGAAGTTTGAAAACACAATTAATACAAAGACCTGTCAACACTAATGTGAGGCTTATTCAGTATATCCGATATTATGCCTTGTGCATATTCCACTGATGGGAAAAACTGGTTAAAAAAAAAACTTCCAAGACTAATAAAATTGTCCATTTGTACCCACATGTATATCCACACATTATGTATAACTATATAATACCTACAAAATACATAAATGCATATATATGTATATTTGAATCTAGCTATATTTTAAATCTAGCGGAACCTTACTATAACACTATGCACTATTAGAAAAATGCACACCCTTAGTCTACAAATTTATTTTAGATATGAATTCAAAGCCTCAATGCCTCACATAAGCCTATACGAACTGCTATTAGGACTTTCTTTCCTCCCCTCCCAGCAAAATTCATGGCACAAATATTTACAGCATGCCCATTAAGGATAGCTCTGGGGCAGACATAGGCCCAATAGGTTTCAGTTTATCTGAGCAGACTCAGAGGTACTTATTTAGTATTTTAAAAATTCATCATAGCTACAGGAAAAACAACTCAGAGCCAGCCCATACCCTATGGACACTAAGTCTGCACATTATTCATGCTGAAACAGAATAAACCTTAAAAAATATTTAAGAGCTGATCAGCCTTTCCTTTTCCTCCTCCTACTAAGACCTACAGGAAAGTTCCTATAATTGGCTCATTGTTCTTTACTAGTTTTTCCGTTAGATGTAGGCAATTAGTTTGAACACTAAGAATGTGGGAATCAATTGGCATTCAAGTCTTTATCTGTGACAAGTAATAGGAAAAACAATTAGCAAGTTTATGACTTACATTTTTGTTTACAGTTGGAGAGCCAGTGTTAATAAGTTTAGTTTTGATTACAAGTAGGTACTTATATGTGAAATATGGGAACACCTTTACTGTATGAGTTTTCATATGCCTGCTATAATTCAGATTGAAAAATGACTGTCAAATATTTACAAGTGAATTAAGGTGGAGAACAGAAATGAATTCCACCACACCGTGGAATTCAGTGTGCAACACACAGACACGTGTTCATTTCAGTACTAAATTATTAACTTGCATTGTTCTACAACAAACTGGAAAGATGATTTGTGGATATGAACCCTCAGCTTATAGTATCAAATAATTCCTCTAAATGAGAAGATGGAGCATACTGAGAGGTTCCGCTCACCTCTTTGGCTATGGTGGTGATGAAGGCGGGTGGTCTGGCGGTGGCAATGAGTGAGAGGGCATGCCTCGCAGAGCGGGCCGAGTCAGCTGCTGGGCTCAGAGGCAGCCCCATTGTGATGCTAAACAGGGATCAGAAAAAAGGGAAAAAAGAAAAGCAGCATTAGAAATATAGACTGAAAAGATTAGACACAGCTTATAATGTCAGTTCAAGGTCAATGGGAGCACTCAAACAGTTAGAATATAATGGACTTGCAACAATGGGCAGTGATTAGGAGTCAGGGTGTTCTGGCATCAAATACAAAATGGAATAATTAACCGTGAAGATTGAAAACAGTATGTGCATCTGTCCAAAGTGTTAAAAACGCCTTGTTAACAAATTATCAAGAACTAGTACTGAATACATATCGCAAAGCTCAGAACGAGGTAAGAACGAACATCATGCTGGCTACTTTCAAATTTTTCCTAAAAATAGTTAACCATTTATTTATAAGGACATATTGAGACTGGATCTAAGGCTGTATATCTGAAGGCAAAATTTACTCCTGTCTGTAAAACTGTCACAAGTACTGAGAATAACAAAATAATTTTTCATTTGAAATATTTTTAGTACTGCTGGTTTACCCCAGTTTAGTACTTTTAGAACCAATCTATGAAACAGCATGCTTCACCAACAGTTATATAGTACTGATGCCAAAAATTCTATTACCTGATTCTAACTCTGTTTATATAAAGAAGAGGTGGCACAATGTCGTCCAGGCTATTTGTAAGGCGCTGCACACAATGAAATAAATCTTTCCAAACTGGGAGAATCACATGGTCATGACAGGAGAGTGATGCTATATTCACTCTCCACCTCTACTACATGAAAATATAAATATTCTTGTTTCTAAGCTTCCTTTATATTATATATAATCCACTCTGAATATCAAGACTTTTATCAAAATGTGGCATGTGATCTGCCCATTAACTGTATACAAGGAGTATTCTGTTACTCAGTATAGGATACGATTATAGTTTCCTGAGTTAACTATTTTTATATTTAGATATGTATATGAAGACACATTAACATTTATCCTACTCCAATTAAATGAGTCTATGTGCTTTATGTGTAAATTGGATTGTTTTTACCAAAAATTCTCAAGAAGTTACAGGTATCTCCATAATTGATCAAAGAAGCATTATTTTAACTTGTAGCTGAAAATAAAAATTACACAGGCATCCTCATCATTGTTAAAGGAAATTCCGCTTATAAGTCTTTGCGACTGTTACACTGCTTCAATCTCTGATAGTATAACTGTCTCTCTTCTTTTTTCCATACTGAGCGTAGAGACGAAGCAGGGGCTCAGAGGAGAGGAGTATGGACAGTTTTCCTTTGATGTTTAATACTAAAAAGAAAGATGTGAGCTGAGAGAACACACGCACATACTGAACAATACACAAGCAGAAAGCACGGGAGGCATCTCCCCACCTCCCTGCTGTCGAACAGTCCGATGCGCTTGGGTCCCAGTAGGAATTGCAAAGAGGTGTTTTGTGGGAAAGCAATATAGGCAGTTGGCCAGTTTCTTTTCTGGATTAAACTTGGCTAATTGAAAATACAGTGAAAGAAATGTTTACTATGCGAGTAGTGCTGGGGCTAGACTGCTTAATACTTATTGTAAAATTCAGATTATAAACCCAAATTTTAAGTCAAGTTTTAAACAATTCAAAAGCCAATTAAACTTTGTAGATACCCTGTGATGCTTCCTTTCATCAATCAATATGGATGAATAGGGGTTGATGGTACTGAAAGGCTATAAAAAATCAAAGTGTTACATTAACTGAATAATTCTCAACAAAATATAATAAAATTTGGTAAAATCAATAAAACCACAGAATACTGACGTTGGGAAAGGTTTCCCAGGCAACATCCCTGACAAGCAGTCAGCCAGGGAAAGGAATGTCCATTTCCCAGGCGGCCCATCCTAGACCTGGAAGGCATGCTACAGAGGAAGAAGAACCGGGTGCAGAGCCCAAGGTCTAGGTTGGAAGCCAGGCTTTCTTGGTTATTTCATGCCCTTTGCATTTGATCCAGAATGTCCCTATGAAGCGGTTGATACAGCTATTTACAAGTGAGAAGTGGGGTCTGAGAAGTTAAGTGAGGGGCTAGGTAGTTGTGTGATGCCTTTCAGGACAGCGAACCTTTGGTGAAAATACAGTGGGGAGGAGCATGGCCATATTGTGGTTACTTGGATTACTGAATCAGTCATGTGACTAAACTCGGTGGCTTTGGATGAATGGCTAGATTGCATTTCTGAGAGATTTTAGTGATATGTTATACTTGGCCTTCAGCTGTTTTATTTGATGTAATAATGGTTTGAATGAAGATACAGGACGCATGGTTATCAACTGGAGTGGTTATAAAGTTGTAAGGGAGAGCAGCCACATTACATAATAGAACTAAGATCTACAAAGTCATCAAAAAGATCAGACTCAGCTAAGTAAGACGTACGTGTGGGTACAAAACTGACCAACTTTACAAGTGTGGGATTGGTAATACACTGCTGAACCAGGCTTGTGAACTACTGAGGGTTGCATCTGAAACATAAATGTGTATGGTAGTGATCCGGCTACTCAACGAGCTGGGGTGTGTCCTGAGAAATACAGTAATGGGGAAGGTGTTACTCCTGCTGTAGTTCATGGCTCTGGGTGCCTGTCTGCCTTCCCGTGGATATACTGCTCCTTAGGGACTAAGAGGAAGGGTCTGGCTTCTGCAGGACAAGAGTTACAGCATCCTCCTAGAGTCCAGGGAAGTCTAGTCCGTCCCCAGCTGTGTGCTGCTGGGACCCCTTGCTATTGGAATCCAACATAAGCAGGACTGTGGCAAATTCACCATTATTTCTAAGTTCTCACTTCCATCCCTTCTCTGGTTCTTTTCATGGAAGAGAAATGTTTAGTGAGAAGCTAAGAGAGGGAGACACACACACACACACACACACACACACACACACACACACAGAAGAAATACAAATGTGTGTGCACCTGAGAGTGGTCAGCTGACAGACTCAGGGCTCATGACATAGTGACAAGCAGACACTTTCCTCTTACCCTTATTCTGTGCCCTGTGGCCATTCTACACTGCATCTACAACTGTGAAATGGGTATATTAAGACATTGACTTCATAGCACTGACAAGAAAACTAAATGAGGTAAAAAATACAAAAATATCCATCCCTGCCAGTTCCTAGATTTTATGTACAATCAATGCTGCTTCTGACCAAAGATGCTTCTCATAAAAAGCAGCAAAGTGAAGGGAAAATGAGATCAACTCCCAGCAGGTCACTGCTTCAAGCCAAAAGGCCCCAGCCACACACCATCCTTCCCCCATGTCAACAAATGACCTTACAAATTTGGGGGAATCAGCAAACTTCTTACAGTAAGAAAAATGATAAAGTTTGGCACTGGGTGGTGGGTCTAGAAGAGAAGCTATAGGGGAAGGGGGAAGGAAGTAAATCAAAGACATGTGAAGCTATTGCCCACTGAGTTCACTGGAAGCCCGAAAAGCCAGCACTTTGCAGGGGCATCAGTGTGCGCTCCTGGGGGATTCCCTCCATTGGTGTTCGGCAGTCTGGGCATAGGACTGCAGATGTGGATAGTTCTACAGCTCTGAGGCCAGGGCTCTGCAGAGAACTGGACCCTCCACAGTGCAAAAGTGGGGGGCTGTGTGAGAGTAGAGAGGGGAAAGAAACCTTGTGTCCCTCCTCTAGTCTACTCAATTGACCGTCATCAGTCATCTTCCCAAAGCACCAACTTTATTTCCTGGTTGCCCTACTTAAAAGGAACCTTCTCTACCACCTCTAGGAAAAACTCTAAACCCCTCGGCTTGAGATTCTAGGCCCTCCATAATCTAGTCCCCTAATTTTCAACTCACCCTTTTCAACACCAATGCTCCAGAAGTCAGGCTAATTTCCAAGTTGGTCCCTAAAGGTCTGTGCCTTTATTTTACTCCAGTATTTTGCTAATGCTTCTCCTCCATCCCTTTCCCCATTGGCACAGTCTCCTCCCTCCCCTCTGTTCAATTCTGGTCTTCCCACATGGTATTCTCGAACTACTATAGCACTCATTGATTTCTACCGAAACAAAAACAATCAACAACAAACCCCATTTATTCCAGGCCCTTAATACTAAATCACATTCTGCCAGGTCTTATGAATTAGTTTTGGATTATGAGCGCCGTACAGATTGGAAACATGCCGGCCAATTCTCTCCAAAGTGCCCACTACAGCCCTTGGACATGGTGGTAGCTCCATAGTTACGCACTAAGTGGAGTAGCTGGCAAATTCAGCAGGAGGAAAAAAAATCACTTAAGCCAGTTATTGGACTGAATTGACCAGGCAATGAAGTCAAAGTAATTGATCTGGTAGTCCCAACAGATGAAGTCTAATTCTACATGTAGTAGTCTTTAAAGTCAAGAACGCACTGTCTGTGTGATATAACTTAATGTGGGATTCTATCGGAATGAAGAAGGATCATACTATCAGAGGTTTGAAATTAGAGTGTCAGCCTTATTCTGGAATCTGCATGTAAACATGGAATGCACTCTTTTCACCTGATCCCACCTGTCTGGCTGTTATGTGGATCATCTGTTTCACAGGTTTATAGGATGGGTCTTTTGTTTCAGTCTTTATTCTGAAAAAAGAGGACACGACAGACTCTGTTTCACTCAGCATCTCACTATACACACCCAATATGAAAGATCAGAGGTGATGGATATTATAAATAAAAAATATGAATGGAAAAATAGTCAATACAGGCTGAGCTCCTTCTTTACAGGATTGCTCACTAATACTGTTCTAAAGCTCACTCCAACACAGTAAAAGCATTTCAAAAGTTACATGTAAGTATATGTCAGTCAAATGTCACAATCTAAAATTATCAGACTTTATCATCTGTCAAATTAAGAAATAGTGTATGGGAATATTCCAGGGGGGCAGGTAGGGGAGACACAAATACTTTCATTGAATAGCCTGAAAATTTTTGTCAATAGTAATGGGGTAATGAAAACAGTCCCCCACAAAAACAAAGACTACTAAAATGAGTTTGAAAATGCATACTTAATGTATAGTAACTGGGATTCCCATTT